CTCTATTAAAAATGTCCAGTTTTTGTTACTAGTTAATTATTAAGATTCAAGGATACATTGGTGTTTTTTCAGTCTTCTGATCCAGGAAATAGAATAGAAGAAGTTGATGTTAGTTTCTAGAAACAATATTGATAAGCTTGGTTGAGTCTGTAAAGAGTCACGCTCCTCCCTCCTCCTTGGTTGGAAAAACCTATGAGAAACTTCCTGTCCTGGGATATATCCTTTGTCCACCTGCATTTCTGAAATGCTCGTTAGTCTACTTTTCAGCTTTAGGCATTGAGAACTTCACTAAAACCCAAAGATTTCACTGGGAGGAATAAAGTAAATGTGGCTGGAGAAATTATTTCTTTAGGTTAGCTAGGACTTGGCAGGATGTTTATTATAATTACATTTAACTACCGGATGTCAGGAAAGATCTGGAATTAGAATTATACTGTTTCCTATATCTAAACCTTCAAACCTCCCAACTGACTAATGAATTAATTTATTACAAGAGGCATCAGCATTTACAGAACGCATGCCAGGCACTGTTCTCATTGCATCCCCAAGACAGCCTGATGAGATAATTACTATTCCTGTGTTGCAGATTAGGAAACTGAGGCACAGGGAATTTAAGTAATTTGTCTGACGTTGCTAATGGAGGAGACAACCAGGGCTCACCACTGCTCACTCCTCCTGTATATGTTTGCTGCCTAGCACAGCAATTGTTCAGTAACCCAGGGAACTTTTCAGCTGCATTTGCGTATGAGCTAGCATGAAGCTAAGTTGCCTTGGATGGCACCTTTTCGAAACAGAAGCCCATATGAAGTCACTGAGAACTTCAGCAGGATTCATGAAGAAGCCCCTGAGCTCAGAAAGATGTTGTTTCTGCTTTTTGGTTAATACTGGCAGTACTATAATTTAAGAAAATGTGCAAAATGAAGTAAGACAAACTTTGAAAGGTTTTACTTCACAGCACCCACTCCAGTAAGTTGAGGGAATAAAAATTTGGCTAACTTGTTATTTTTAAATATATAGTGTCATTCTTTTGTGTGTGTGTTTTTTTAATGTTTATTTTTGAGAGGGAGAGACAGAGCATGAGCAGGGGAGGGGCATAGAGAGGAAGACACAGAATCAGAACCAGGCTCCAGGCTCTGAGCTGTCAGCACAAAGCCTGATGTGGGGCTCAAACTCACAAACCGTGAGATCATGACCTGAGCCGAAGTCAGACGCTTAACTGACTGAGGCACCCAGGCTCCCTAATACTTAATGTCATTCTTAAAACAGTGTTATTTCTCTGAAATTGGTAACTTATGGTGTTCAGTTTTTTCCATGTAGGATATTTATTAGAATAATACTAGAATATTTAGAAATAATTAGAAAATACATAGAATGTTTCATATTAGAGGAGAAGAGTTCCTCAAAATAAAAATAAGAAACTTTGTTTAGTGATATAATTGAACAAAGTAGTGAAGGCTAATAACTTACTTGACCTAGCAGTGGTAGGTGTGAACATTTAGGTTTGATTATGATTTCAAGAACATCTGTTGTACACTTGGTAAGTGCTTTATTTCTTTCATTTTCTTTGACCTTTCTCTTTAATTTCACCTGATTTTCATCCAGGGGAAGAATCCAAATTAAGGAATATCCTCATGTAGAAAGTTGATTGGGAAAACACCCTGTATCAGAAATAAATAGTACATTGTCACAAGGGTCTTCTTTTTCCTTCATACAAATACTGATCTCTTAACCACCTTAGTGTTCTTTGGCATTGATAGTACAATGTGACCAGAAATCAGTCCTAGACAGTTTTGGAGAAAGGACTTGATGAGGTGGGAGAAAATTAAAGATGATGGTGAAACTTAAAGCTTTGAGTTTTTATGGCTTTAAGTTAGCTGTGCACAATCCACTCTCTTGACCATGGATAACTGAGGTAGCTGGTTATTCTGCCCAGGTCATTGTGAAAGTGACAAGCCAGAGACTGTAGACACCCCAAAGCATAGGCATAGGAATAAAAATGCTGTATATTTGCATCCATGTTCAAGAAAGATTGGCTTTCTGAGTATGTCACTATTTGGGGGAAGAGGATGCTATCACCTTTGTAAAGTTGTGAATTATGAAAGACATTTCTGTTGGGTTACTGAATGTCCCTTGGGGTTTGTTTCATTTATAACACTGCCTCAGGCCTTCTGCTGTTACATCCTGTTGGAATGACCTTCTTTTCAACCCTGTGCTGGCAGCCATAATGTGGCTCTTTCTCCTGAATCCTTTAGGCTTATCACATGACAGGCATGAACTGTCACCCCTTTGTTCTTTACCCAGATGATTCAGTTTTTAAAATTCGTTTCTGTGTAACATTTTTGCCTTATTTTCTTTCCTCTTATTCCCTCTTTGCTGCCTTTTGTATTTCCTACCTAGACAAGGGTTTGTGGGATGGGGTTTTTTTTTTTTTTGAGCATTTTAATTTTTTAATTAAAGTATAACATTGATGCAGGAAATCACACAAATCAAAGCTCACTGAATTTTCACAGCACAAACACACCCATGTAGACAGTACTCCATAACCCTCAGATAACCCTGTCCTATCTCTTTCTGGCCACTACTCCTCTCCCCTAAGGGGAATCATTGTACTGACTTCCGTAGCTTTGAACTTTATAGAAATAAAATCAGACTCTATTTCTTTGCATCTGGATCCTTTCATTTAACATTTTTATGATATTCATCCATGTTACTCAGTTTGTTACTGCTGTATAGTATTCCATTTGTATAAATATTCCACAATTTATTCTTAATGGGCATTTGGATGGTTTCTCGTTTATTACAAATAATAGTACTCAGCATTCTTATACATGTCTTTCGGTGGACGTGTGATATATTTCTGGGTATTTACATAGAAGAAGAATTGCCAAGACATCATGTATCCATCTACCCATTTACATCTCAAAGTCCATATAAAACACTAGATGACTGATTTTAGGCAAACTCTTAGTAGGAAACATTTATAAACAACTATCAATTCAGCTTTGGTATATTATATCTAATTTTTGGCTAAGAAAAGTGCCTCTATTTAAATGTACTATAGTTTATGGGGCACCTGGGTGGCTCAGTCTGTTAAGTGTCTGACTTTGGCTCAGGTCATGATCTCATGGTTCCTGGGTTCGAGCCCTGCATTGTGCTCTGTGGTGACAGCTAGCTCAGAGCCTGGAGCCTGTTTCAGACTCTGTCATCTCCCTCTTTCTCTGACCCTCCCCTGCTCACACTCTTCTCTCTCTCTCACAGAAATAAACATTTAATAAAAAAGTACTATAGTTTAAACAGATAACTCCTATAATCAGCAAAATTGCCACTCATTGCCCATGACACGTTTTACTGTCTTCTTAATGTGTCCTAATTTTTATCTACTTTTCCAAAGCTCAGTTGGCAGGTCCGTTGTGCGAAACTCTTAGGAAAATACTGTGATGGTGATAATTTACAGTAGTTAAGATTACATCTATATTATACCACCTCTAAGTGGTCCTGGGAAGAGGAATGTGTTAGTGCTTGACTGCCATGTGTTAGCAGAAGCTACAGAGGCAGACACTTGTGTACACATTCATTACTGACAGCCTTGCAGAAATGCTCCAGGAGATGGGCTCCAGAAGTAGCTGGGCTGTGGTGCAGCCAAGAGTAATGTTTTCATCCTTTTGAAACATGTGGACTTTCCAAAATGTGTTCCGTGGACCCTTTTGAACAAGTTTAGCCTAATGAATATAGTAATGTGATTGTGCAATCATATTCTCCCAAAACTGCAAAGCATCTCTTAAGGAAACTTTGTTTAAACATCAGATAAAGTGCCCCTCAGTCATTCTGTGAACATGCATGGAATTAAGTTGACTTGTTTTGATCATAGTGTATTGTTTAAAAAGGATTTCTTTCTCCTCCATCAAGACAAAAATGTAGGGGGAATAATCAAAATACAATGATTATAAAAGGATAGTTATGGAGCCAGAAGATTTGCCTCCTGTGTTAGGTAAATATCTTCTATAAGTCTTCTTGGGGGGAGAAAGGAGGGTCACCAGTCCTATCAAGGTGTTTTTGGGAACAAAGTATGGTTAAAGAAAAGAATGAGAGAATAAAGGATTTCACCTTTACAGAATTTTCCTTTGAGAATTCTGTTATTTTTCATTTCTCCTTCCAGCCTTTGTTTTTGAGAAGAAGCAATGGGAAGTGAGCCTGTAGGGAAGCCAGGTGATGAGGTTGTGCCAGATCTGGTAGATAATATAACAGAGTAACTAAGAGCACTCGCTTGAGATCAGATTAGAAATTGAGTTCTGGTTTAGCTTTATGTGACTCTGAACAGGTCCCTTAACCTATCTAAGCTCAGTTTTCTCATTTGATAAATGGGGACAGCACCCATGTAGCTTGTTGCAGTGTTACATGAAAGAAAAGAGATCACGTGCAGGAAGTGATTAACATAGGTGTCATAACAAGTGCTCAGGTAGCTAGTCTGGACAGGGGAAGGAGAGCAACTGAAGACTTTTGAACAACAGAATGGTGGGATCTGAACCATGTAAGGCCTTTTATTTTATTTTTTTTAATCAGCATAACAAAAGACAGCACACATTCCAAGTATTCAGTGTGATAGATTTTTATGTATACATATACCTATGAAATCATCACTGCAATGGAAATAATGACTACATCCATCATTCCCAAAACTTTTGTCTAAGACCTTTAAAGAAGAAAATCTGGCCTTCAATGCACAGCAAAGAATGGAGTGAAGTAGAGCCTGGAAGTGGAGAAATCAGTTAAGAGCTGTGGCCATGGTCCAGGTGAGAGAGAAAGAACAAGTGAGGTATGGGGGCAGCCATCCTTCCCCAGGAGATGGGGCTGCTAGAGACAGGGTTGAGCCCTCTGTGTTATTGTATTCTCTCCAGCACCTAACTCAGTGGCCAGAGGCTAATAGTTCTTCCATGCTGAAGACAGTTTTTCCCTTTATGAAAGATTGGTTACTTAAACTTTTTTCTCTGTTTTTTGTTTAGGGCTTAAAAGACAACTTTCTTGCTTCTGGGGCATCCAGCCTGACAGCCACCAAACAGTTGCTTCGTCCAAGAATCACAAGAATCTGTCTCAGGGACTTGATATTCTGTATGGAACAGGAAAGAGAGATGAAGTATTCTCGAGCTCTGTACCTTGCCCTTCTGAAGTGACCACTCCAGTCTCCATCCAGATCCGTGCTGTTTACTGCCAAAGAAGACATAAAGAGCATTGTTGCACTCTCCTGAAATGTCAGTTTCTGGAAAATAATCACCAATAGGGAAGATAATTGTTTACAGTTATAAACTTTTATTGAATCTTACTTACACATCCCACGGGGTTCTTAATGACTAGAATTCAACTTTGTCTTCTGGAAATTGGTTATGAAATGCAGTTTACACAGACGTAGGCTTCTGCCTACCTGTGGCTTTAATTACAGCAAGTTAAGGCCCTGTTTGTCACCACCTGCTTCCTTTGCCAAACTGTTAACAGGCGAGGTGTCTTTCCCTAATACGGCCTGCATTACGACGCAGGGAAAAGAGAGGAAGAGTCACTGCTTACCAAGGAGACTGTCTCATCCTCTACCGAACTTGTCTCAAAGTGTTAGGTTTTCTAGGCTGGGATCAGAAGTTGCTTAACTAATTGTGACAGTCACCTTCTGTAGTTGCAGGTGACAAGCCACAGTGTCTGTGGTGACTTTGGTCAGCTGAGTCCCGGTGTTGTCGAAACGGAGACAAATGGGGATAGTTTGTGCCTGAGGTGGCTCATTCTCTGGGTCGTCACCATATGCTGCTTCTGATACCAAGTGAGGGGGACGTCCTCATCAGGGAAGCTTTAAGATGGAAGCTGCTGATATACCTCACTGAAGAACGGAAAAGGTGGGAAGCACTGAAAGGAACGATGGGGCACGCGTTCAGACTGAGGAGGGAGAATGGAAATGGACCCACAGAACAGGAAGTGTGCTGCGCCTGCGTCCTGCGTTCCAGGGTGGAATTGGAACTCCATGACGGGTACATGTTTTGTTGACAGGACAAAATCACAGCCCAACCAAAAAAGGAGAATGTATCAAACATTTTCAAACTTACAGAATTTCAAAAGGAAGAGTTATTTTTTGTTTTGTGTATTGTTTTAAATCTCAAGAAGGAATAGTTTTGTAAAATCCTTTTCATTACCGCAAGTTTTAAGCATCTTGTTGCATTTAAAAAATACTAATCGATGATTAGAAATTTTTAACAATAGAACTCCATTTTGGATTCTATACCCAAAAGGTAATGTCATCATTTCATTGTTGGAGATCTTGGCTCTAAATGTATTATGAGGAGCATGTCATATATATATATACATATGTATATATATGTATATGTGTGTGTGTGTGTGTGTGTGTGTGTGTGTGTGTGTATTCATCTGAGGAGGAAGCTGGTTTGTAAAGCAAACTGTTTTTTTTTTTTTTAATTTTAATTCCACCTTTGTGGCACGTAGCTGGTGGAAAATAATAGCTGTATGTAGAATCCCATACAGAAAGAACAAGTAAATGCTCCAAGAAGATTTTTTAAAAATGGGCAAGCTGTGCTTCTTACAAAAAGAATTCAAGGAGAAAAGAACGCAACTCTAGTGTGTTCGGTATGTTACTCCTCATCCTGTTCTTTCCACTGGGACTGTTCTGGCCATGTTCTATACTGTAGTAAATGTTAAAGTGGCCATTTTTGTTTCAGCAAGTTATGTAAAATGCTATAAATTACGTATATGTTAAAAGAGAAACTTTCAGAAGAGATCTGTATCTAAAGTTGTTTTTGTATATTTAAATGCTTAGCTTTATTTTTTTGTAAAGTGCAGCATATTCCCATATTTGTGTATAATCTTATCAGATGTTTAAAATTATTTCAAATACTTCATTAAAATAATTATTTTATTATAAGAATAATTTTGCTCAGTCACTGACTTTGAAAAACAGTATGTATAGTAGTAGGACTCCGCACCTGGGAGCTGGACAGTGGGTCCTAGCTGCTGGGCAGTGGGTCTTTCTTGGCTCGGATTGTGACTTTGGAGTATCCGCATTTGGATTCCAGAACCTTACTTCAAATCCAGTAATTTAAATAACAGTAATTATCACTTTCTTTGGAATAGTTGTAAATTTGCATGCTATTTCACTCATAAAGAAAGCTAAACAGGGGCGCCTGGGTGGCTTAGTTGGTTAAGCGTCCGACTTTCGCTTAGGTCATGATCTCACGGTTCGTGGGTTCGAGCCCCTCGTCGGGCTCTGTGCTGACTGCCAGCTCAGAGCCTGGAGCCTGTTTCAGAGTCTGTGACTCCCTCTCTCTCTGACCCTCCCCTACTCATGCTGTCTCTCTCCTAAAAAAAATAAAACATTAAAAAAAATTTTAAAAAAAAAAAAAAAACTAAACATACTTATTACAAAAGTTTTTCTTGGCCTATCAGGTTTCTTACTAAAAGCATTAGTTTTCAAAACTCATTTTTAATATACTTAATTGTGTTGTGAAGTAGATCTTAGAAAAGAACAAGTACAGCGTATCCAAAGTATTCTTCCACTCAGTTTGCAAAATGGTGGCCTTGGGGTAGGTTTGATCCATAAAGGCATTCTGTGTGACTCATACAATGTTGCCTGTGTTTTAATTTACAAAAATCTATATTTCCACTTATTTTGAAAAATCAGGAGATCTGGAATCATTAGGTACCTCCTTGTGTGAGGTAATCCACTGGAGCCATCCAGTGCCTGTTCACTTTAGATGTGGGGGCATAAATGTACCTTCCCTTGTCTGAACCCTCAAGTACTGAAGTTCATGGCCCTCTGCCTTCAAGTAAATACTTGCGTGATGAACAGTAAAAGAGTAAAGTACTAGAAATTCTCTTATCTGTGTGTTTTTTAAGCAACTTTATTGAGGCATATTTTATATATAAAATTAACCCATATTTCACCCATTTACTTTTTTTTTTTTTTATAGCTTATTGTCGTTTGTTTTTATATAACACCCAGTGCTCATCCCAACAGGTGCCCTCCTCCATGCCCTTCACCCCCTTCCCCTCTTTCCCACTCCCATCAGCTCTCAGTTCTCAGTATTCAAGAGTCTCTTATGGTTTGCCTCCCTCTCTCCTCAACTGTTTTCCCCCTTCCACTCTCCCATGGTCCTCTGTTAAGTTTCTCCTGTTCCCCTTTTAAGTGAAAACATAAGGTATCTGTCCTTCTCTGCCTGACTTATTTCACTCAGCATAACACCCTCGAGTTTCATCCACATTGCTACATATGGCCAGATATCATTCTTTCTCATTGCCATGTAGTATTCCATCGTATAGATAAACCACATCTTCTTGATCCATTTGTCAGTTGATGGACATTTAGACTCTTTTCCATGATTTGGCTATTGTTGAAAGTGCTGCTATGAACACTGGGCTACATGTGCTCCTATGCATCAGCACTCCTGTATCCCTTGGGTAAATTCCTAGCAGTGCTATTGCGGGGTCATAGGGGAGTTCTGTTAATTTTTTGAGGAACCTCCACACTTTTCCAGAGTCACCCATTTGCTTTTAATATGACTGATCTTTTAATTTTTTTAAATGTTTATTTTTGAGAGATGGAGAGACAGAGTACGAGGGAGGGAGGAACAGAGAGAGAGGGAGATACAGAAGCAGGCTCTAGGCTCTGAGCTGTCAGCACAGAGCCCGACACAGGGCTCAAACTCATGAGCCATGAGATCACGACCTGAGCCAAAGTTGGATGCTCAACCAACTGAGCCACCCAGGCACTCCGACTGATTGATCTTCTAAATTGTTTCCTCCATGAGTATCTTTAAGATCCTTCTCCTAGGGACACCTGTGTGGCTCAGTCTGTTAAGAGACCAACTTCGGCTCAGGTCATGATCTCAAGGTTCCTGAGTTTGAGCCCCACATTGGGCTCCTTGCTGACGGCTCAGAGCCTGGAGCCTGCTTTGGATTCTGTGTCTCCCTCTCTTGCTGCCCATCCCCCACTCACACTGTGTGTCTCTCTCAAAAAAATGAATACATATTTTTTCAAAAGATCCTTTTCCTAAAAAAAGAGCAAAATTTAACATTCTTTTAAAGCCTATATTTCTTAAACCCTGCATTTGAAGTAAATTTTATTTCATTAGAATTTTGGCAAAACTTTATTTAAAATTAAGACCATCTATACTAAGTATGTCATGCATGTAACATTAGGGCATATTCTTCAGAAAAATATGGAACCAAGATAGCAGAGTAAGTTGGACTTTCTCTCTATCCCTAGTTGTATAATGAACTAACTTAAGTATTTATAAAAGCCTGACCCTTAAGACTCAGTGATTCTGCATGAAATAAAATATAATATGTTTATACATGACTTGGTAGCTAGTTTTTATTGTTGCTTGCAGTGTTATCTTTTTAGGCACTTTCCAGGCTGCCTGAACTGAAATGGTTGTTTTTGTTTCTGTTTTTGTTTTTAATGTAGGCTTGATTTACATCTGATATCAATATCTTTTTCTGACTTTTTAAACACTTCTGAGTATTTTCATGTGCATTTCAGTTGTGTTGCATTGGTGCATTTACTTTTTTACTGACGTCGTTTCACATGTTGAAAATTGGTCCTCAGCAGAATGGTTTTGCCATATTTTTCTTGTGGAAAATATTGAGAGACTGCTGTGCAGGCAGGCAAGCTGGAGCGTCCACCACCGTATGCTTGAACACTGACTGGTAGGTGAACAGAACAGGCATACGAGAGTGATAGGGTTATCATTTATGTCGACTGGCACCTTGAATATTTTTGAGAAGGAAATACTCCCTAGGAACTCATTTTAAGACTTTTGCCTTCGTTGGTAAACCATGAGGGCAATTTTAATGGCAACCCTTCTTTAATAGTGCTAGGTCAGCACCTTACTGAGTTTTCTTATTGCAGGTGGTATTGAAGCAATATTGCCCTGGCTGCCTCTCTAGTCTCGCCTCTTACCAGTTGTGTGGCCTTGGGCAAATTATTTAGCTTCTCTGTGCCTTCGTTTCCTCATCTGGAAAATAAAAGACTATAAGGAAGATGAAAGCTCTGTTAATATTTTTGGTGCATTTCTTCTTAGCCATTTTTTTCTGTGATAAGTCTGTAGATGTTAAAGGTCATACTGTCGATCCAGCTTTGTGTCCTTTCCTACCAGTGGAGTTGCTTGGGGAAAACGAGAAGAGAAACAACTCAGGAGAATAAAACATCACTTTTGAGTCTGTCCTTCAAGTGACATTGAGGCCATGTTTCCCATTTCCTCTTACTGCATTTGGATTTGTTTAAAACAGTTTCGGTTTGTTATCCTTAGGGGTGAAATGAAGTACCCTTTTAATGTCATCATTTCTTGCCTTGGCCCTCTACATGATAAGGTAGGGTGGAAGGGGAACTGCTATAATTCTATATAAGCTGCTTAGCACATTCAAAGCTAGTATTGAAATGTTACCCATTAGGTTTAGGCTGTGGGACTGATAACTTTTCCTGTTTGTAATTTTAAGAGTGGAAGATTGGCTTCTTGGTGAAATCTTCTCTTAGGCCTCTACTTCCCTAAATAGAAGTATGAAGTCATTGTACTGAGTTGGCTCCAAAGAACCTTTGGAGCAGTTTGCATCAAACTTGCAGACGGAGGGGCACCTAGGTGGCTCAGTTGGTTAAGCATCTGACATCAGCTCAGGTCGTGATCTCGTGGTTCAGGAGTTCAAACTCTGTGTCAGGCTCTGTGTTGACAGTTCAGAGCCTGCAGCCTACTTCAGATTCTGTGTCTCCCTCTCTGTCCCTCCCCCACTTGGCTCTGTCTCTCTCAAAAGTAAACATTAAAAGTATTTTTTAAGTAAACAAACTTGCAAATGGCAATATGAATATCTCACTGGGTACTTCCCAGCAATGTCAATTCCCATAGAAATGGACAGTGGTCACCTCTAACACAGAGAAGAGCAAGAGTGGAATAAATGGTACATTGTGTCATTTCCATGCCTTCTGCCATTATCAGAAAGTGTGGTGCTGCACTAGACCCCAATCAAGGAACAATTCAAGCATCATTATTGATGTGTATTAGTTTCCTAGGGCTGCCGTAACAAATTGCCACACACTGGGTGGCTTCAAACAATGGAAACGTATTTTCTCACAGTTCTGGAGGCCAGAAGTCTGAAATCAAGGTGTTGGAAGGGCCATGCTCCCTCCATAGGCTCTAGGAGAGAACTTGCCTTGCCTTTCCAGCTTCTGGTGGCTTTTGATGTTCCTTGGCTGTGGCAGCAGAACACCAGTGTCTGCTTCCATTCTCACGTGGCCTCTGTGTCTTCCAGGTCCTTTTCTTCTTATAAAGACACCTGGTCATTGGATTTAGGGCCCACTCCAATTCAGTGTGATCTCATCTTGGCCTTTAATTAACATCTACAAAGACCCTGTTTCCAAACAGGGTGGCATTGTGAGGTTCCAGGTGAACATGGACTTGGGGGTGTGGGAGAATGACACTATTCAGCCCACTACAGGAGCATCCTTTATATTCCTGATACTTCTATTTTCTGCCTCTGCTTTCAAGAACAGTGAAAAACTTTATGGTTGTTAACATGGAAGGGGTTGATTTTATATCTCTTTACACTGGATACTTAGAATCTTGATTTCTGTCAAGATGCCTATCCTTACCTTTTCTCCACGTCTCTTCCCTGTTAGACAAAGCTTTTGGTGGCTTTGTTCTGAGAAATGTGGCTGATGTGGTTAAGACTGTGCTGTCCTAGTGTTTACCGTAGTGTATTCAAGTGAATCTGTCTTGTATACTATTGTCTTGTATACTAGACTTCAGGAGCAAAGTCTAGAATTCCTTGGCGGAGACACATATCACCAAGGAGAGACTGGGAAATTGGAGAA